GGTCCAGTCACCCCAGACCTTGGTCTCAGTGGTCTTCTGGGACTCAGGAGCAGTGGTGGTCCAGTCACCCCAAACCTCGGTCTTGGTGGTCTCAGTCTCAGTGGTGGTAGTCCAGTCACCCCAGGTCTTCTTCTCCTCGGTGGTGGTGGTGGTGGCGGCCTCAGTGGTGGTAGTCCAGTCGCCCCAGACCTTAGCAGGAGTGGTGGTAGTAGCGGCAGCGGTGGTGGTGGTGGTGGTGGTAGAAGTCCAGTCCAACCAAGGTTGAGCTCCGCCAATGGGGTCAACGGTGCTGTTGCCGAAGGCGCGAGCTGGCAGTCTGGCGGCAGCGGCAGTGCTGGCAGCAGCCAACAGAACGGCGGATGACTTAACCATTTTGAATGTGTTTGGGTGTGTGTTGGGAGTGATTGACAATCGTGCGAGGGAACGAATGGACAAGAGCCTTAGCGAAGGAGCTCTGAACAGTGCAAGCGAGGGGTGATGGACTTTGATTGTGGTAGAAACAAAACTGAGAGTAGGAGGACGGGCGAGCCGTATTTTGTACTCTGTCCGGGAGTTGTACCTCTCATCGCATCCCTTCACATCCGGAGCTGGGGTGGACCACAATGGATTCCTTTGCGAATAGTTCCAAGACCACCATTGTCGCCTGGAGCCGTAGAACCCACCCACGAAGGGCAACCCGAATGCAACTTCAACATCCTCCACACGGCATCGATTCCTGTTCCTGAAAATATGCAGTGGAATATTGTGTCATAGTGGAGAGGTGGCTTGCAGGCCTACTCCTCCGCCACGAGGGAGGTTTAAGCCAGTGGATCAGCACAAGGCTAGCAGAATGCCGGCGTCAAAACCTTTCGTAGCCTTTTCTGCTCAACCTTGCTCGGCGCCTTTAGCAGATAAGCCGATGTCCAGGCAAGAAGTGATCACAGGGAGCCATGCGAACGTGATGATGCTTGACCAAGCCTTGCCAGCCTGATAGCATGACACAGCTCAGCCTACCGATCTGGCGTGCACACGGGCGCACTTGGCGGAATCGACCCGGAAGGTGACATTGGGGAGTGTCCAAGCGCTCCGAGCCCCATGCACAAGAATAGAAGCAATAGTAGATATCGAATGCCCACTGTTTCCGCACAGTAGACTGCAAATTCTTGCTAGTAGAGGATCGCCTACCAGTATAGGACGAGGGTCATGGTAGCGACAATGGAAACGGCACAACTGACAGTTATCGACTCGGTGGATGCTGTGCCGGCAAGCCAGTAACAATTACTAGGAACTATCACAAGTGATCAGCAGCAGTAGAGGCGACAGGCCCAGCTCAGCGCCATCTTGGGCTCGGTTTTCGCCATTCTTTCATTCACCGTTTCGCCTTGAGGTAAGGTGCCCACAGGCAGGGTCCTGGGTAGGGCGACAGATGGGATGAGGTGCTAGGAACCAAACCTTGCGATCAGTGGAAGCGGTTAGAAGAGGGAAGAGGGAAGTGGAAGTGCTTGCAGCTTGCAGTGCTGGAAGCTCTGCGGCCCACAGTTGGACGGGTACCACCAATAGTAGCATTTTCAATTGTTAGCGGCAGACCAAGTGCACACTATTCCATGACTAAGTGCTAGCGCCGCTTGCAGTCGAAGAGCCTCTTGGGCCGATTGCGCCTGGAGCCACCTGCGTTGGGCTGGGAACGGACCACGTCCAAGATGCTAGTGCTACTCGCTCGAGCCACTAGTACTGGTCATGCAGCAGAGAGCGGCAGCTCTGGAGGACCACGACATTCAAGGTCTTGACACTGGCAGAGAATTCGCCGAGCTGCAGTGAGCTGCGTTTTTGGTAAAGCTTAAACCTAGAAATCGACCACTGATGTTGCTGTTCCTGTTAAGACATGTGCGCTAAATCTGAGACATGCTTATGGCCTGCATCTGCATCTTTCTCAACCCACCATCAACAGTCTTGACTGCGCTGCTTGCAGCGAACAACCGACAAGGTTCAACATTACCCGAAGACCTCTGAGAAACCCCAGTGGCGTTCCAACGCCAGCTGCTTGCGGTCGCTTATTGTTGAGTACCAAGTCTCCCCGTCGCCTGCTACTCTGTCTCGCCGGCAACGAGAAATTCACCGCTGTAATCGTGATGTGAGTCCAGTTTGTTGTGCTACAGGACGTCAACCAGACCACTACGTAATGTACGCCAGGCGTCTACGTCGTTGACAGCAATGTCAGCCGTTCAGCTGCCGTCTCTCTGATCACGGAGCACGGGGCCGTGGTCAAAGCAACGCATCCGTCCTCGCCTGTCCTCCACCCCGCAGCGATCCGAAAGCAAGGACCAGCTCAAGGCTCCGGAAATAGTTGGGAAGAAATGAATGGAAGAGGCCATGGGAAGCTGGCACAACCTTCATGCGGACTCTGCTTTCGTTCCTGCATTCTCAGCTGATCAGCCGCAGGCCCGGCTGACCGGCCTGCTTCCTCTGCCTCGTTAGCTTTCGTTGATTAAGGTGGTTGCCCAATCATGGCATTGGGTTTACCTTGTGTAGACCTAGCAACCGGGTCTTTCTATATGGCCTCATTGGTGAAAATATTACGCAAGATGTTCTTGGTTGTGAGTTGCTTACCTTGAGAGATCTGTTCCTTGCCGTCTTCAATTGGTCTGGACGGGCGATGGGTCAGGAAAACTTGAATGCGCCCTGCTTTTGCTCGAGATACTACTAACGCACTCCACGGCGGGGGTCCCGGTCACTTGCAGTCGTGCAAAAACTTGTTCAGCTCTTTCGGGATGTGCGGAACTGGGATATCGTCATTGGCCGACGCCAATCGAACTAGCGGCTTGCCAATCGATAGCACAGTTCACAGCCAAAACATGTGGATGACACTGGCAGTGAAAAAGCCTGATGGAGAACGCCACCGGTGGAGGGGATCAGGCCATCCATGGTGGGCGGCTAACCGTCAATAGTTTCTATGCGAATACTGTCGGAATTTTTGGCGAGGGCGCTTTGCAGGTATCCTGCTGCTTCCCACCACTGATGACTGTAGCATAGTTGTACTACTACAACTGTACAGTGGTGACACCTACCATCGGCTTGAACCGTCGCATTGTGGCCCAGCGGGCGGCTGCGAGCTCTTCCGCTGAGTAGGTTCTCGGAAACGCGGCCATGTCCAGCAAATCCGGCTCACTCTTTTTGGTTCCAGTGCCTGACTACCTAGGTATCAGTAACAGAGAGTCTTCACTCGTCCTGGCCACTATCCGACCCGCTGTCCCAACCAAACTGGTAATACTGCGACAGCTGGCTCAAATCATCGTACAGGCTCTCGCGCTCGTCCAATTGGCAGTACCGAATTGTCGCATCTCTCAGGTGCAGGATCTGGTCCTTCATGCCGGAGGCGCAAACAAGCCCTGCCGAGATATCCAGGCCACCCCGGCTTTCTCGGTTGGTCTCGAAGAGTCCATCTGGGAATGTCTCCAGCAGCGGAAACTGGAGCCCGGTTTGATATCTACGCAGAGGTCAGTACACAGTACAGTGGGCAATAACCGAAGAGCCCACCCGTTGCCGGGTAGGAGCCTAAACAATGAGAAAAACAAGCCAATGTGGACACTCACCTCTCAACGACACTTTCTTCGTCCAATCTTCTACGCAGCCGTTCTTCAGGATCCAGGGTCAAGGGTCGAGAGGCGGAATTCGAGTGCCCGCGCTCGCATTCAACTTGCGCAAACACGTGAGAAGATTGCGACGTTGTTGACCGAGTCGTATGGGAAGAATAATTCATGTCAAAGTCAGTCGGTTCTGGCTGCCCATTACCGCTATTGTCTTCTGTAGACAAAGATCTCCCACTTGATTGCCCAGCGGATGCACCAGTGTTCTGATGATGATCATGGCGTGTGGCATTGGTAATACTTGCCTGGAGTTCGAAGATGTTCTGATGCCCATTGGTGTTCAAGGTATCCTCAAACAGCGGCAATGAGCCTCGTTTATGCCCATTCGCAGTGAGCCTTGTGGGAAGTGTAATCGACTCCAGGCCGGTGCAGAGGAGTGCAGTGGTCACCCAGTCAGAGCTACTCTGGAGGCGAACATACCCCGGGAGCGACGAGGGAGGAGCAGCGAGGCGCACATACACAGAAGCCTGCTGGCCGATTGTGCTGAGGGACCTCACAGTGTTGCAATCTCGTGCCAACTGCTTTTGCTGGGACGCTTTTTAGCCGGCAGTCAGGAGGAAGTACAGATCATGACCTACCCTGCTGACTCTGGATGCGTCTTCGATTCCCCATGTCCACATGCTGATCTTACCGTACTCATCGCGTAAATGTTCGAGGTATTTGGCCGCAAAGCCACCCCAGGCATCATCTGCCCCTGTGAAGACCTGGAAGCCTTGCATATGGTCGCATTCTTCTGTGAATGGTCGAATGTCTCGGTCAAGAAGGTCGAATTCTCGGGTAAGGCTGTCAAAGAGGTCGCTTCCAGCGTGCCAGTTTTCGAACGGCATTAGCTGTGAGTTCAGCTCATACTCATTTACATGGACCATGGATCTGGGATGGAAAAACACCCTGTTGAAGTCCGACCAATACCGGACATCGGAGTCCTGCAGCTGAGACGTGGGGAGCCCGAGGTCGAGTCGCTTCTGGTACTCTGTTGGTTCAATGGCGGGCTCTTGTTGCGTCGAGGTCGCACCGTCCCTACTGCCGGTCAGCGGAGGGCGCTTTTGCTTGCGAGTTTTTCCATACCACAGCCCGCGCACAACCTCACCAGAGTCATGCTGGTTGTCATACAGGGCATTGAATTTACGTAGAGTGCCAAATCCCCCTTTCAGATCGTAGATGATGGTGCGCGGAGTGAAGGTCTCTACACCACCGACTCCCAGACCAGGGCGGAAATGGACATCATGATCCACCAGCGGTTCTTCATGCTCCGAGTATGTGAAGTAAGATTCCTGATAGCACAGGCATGTCAACGCCTCTGAGCTCAGCTAGAAATCTTACAGCGACAATGTTACCTGAGTATTCCAAAAATGGGTGGCGAGATAGTTACTCTTTTGGCCCAATTGAATGGTCACGATTTCGTGCATCGTGGTATCATCTTCCCATTCACGCGCTGTTCTGTTTGCGCCTGAGCCGTTCTGATGTGTTTCCTAGACCCCCCTCGGGTTATCTGTACGGCAGCAAGTAAAATGACTGGCACAGTAGGTACTCAACCGATGCTTGTTTGATCGGCGATGCGACTATCAGATGAAGATTCCATTTCAATGTTTTCTTGGCGACGCTTCAATAATTTATATTCCCGCAGAGCAACGAAATGGAACAGAAGGCCTGACGATCACAACTCCCTGTCTACATACCTAGGTAGGTGGGCATGTGGTCGGCGGGCTCCAGATCACTACACCATTCTCCCAAAGAACTGTTCATATATATTCTTCCTCCGTAAACTTCCCCACAGTTCCAGTGATGATATGGTGAACTTTGAGGCGCTCAATGGCCCATCAATTACACAACACTCTTACGAGCCGGTAGCTACTATCCTACGTCCTGATGCTCAAAACAGTGCATGCCTCGAGCTTGTTTCGCCCTCGCAAGGACCTCTTCATCGCAAGTGCGAGCTTCAATTTCCCTGTGCACGGCAAAACGCTGCGGATGCTTGGGGAGAAAACGCTTTGGTCAGAGCTAAGTTTGTGCCATCCTGTATGGGCGTGTACTGCACATGTCCAGCACGTCATAGAGAGATGGATAATGGGCAGTAGACGCCTATAAGTGTGAGTATATTTCACATTATCATTCTTAGCCACCGTGGATTGTGTTGGGCTTCTCTGCCTGGACGGAGTAGCGAGATAGTCGCTGTCGGCGCGGGCACGAATTCGCAAGTCTGACCGCCAGAGAACTCACTAATTACCGAAAATCACCTTCATTTGAGAATCTCCGCCGTCCTTGTTGTTGTCGTCGTCGCCATTCAAGTTGGGGGGGGGGTGGTACTGATAGTAGTCGAAGTTGGAATCCATTAACGCTGCTTTAGAAACCGCTAGGTTGTACCATAAAAGCGGCATGAATCTGTTCATCTGTCGCATGCTAGTATTCGGCCACGATAACCAAAGGCCCGGAATGCCCAACTGTCTTCGAGTCTGCCGTAAGGAGCAGACAAGTTGAGATGCCCCTGTTGGCGTTACACATTTGGAGTGTGCCATGTGCATGAATGTTCAGGATGTGACGCCTGCAGCTATCTCATCATGGCCTGTATTTCCTTCAATACGGATCCAACCATGGCTGAGGGGCATCTACTTCGTACTGATCCTCGCCGGTCTTGCTTCAATAGCGGCCGTGCAGGCTCAGACACCAGGGCAGCTTGCAGCCCTGAGAAAGGAAGCTGAAGACCTCTTCTATCATGGTTACGAAAATTATATGCTCCATGCATTCCCGGAAGACGAGCTACGCCCAATATCCTGCCGCCCTCTGACACGCGACCGTGACAACCCGGCACATATTGAAGTCAACGATCCTCTAGGGAACTACTCTCTTACCCTCATCGATAGTCTGTCGACTTTGGCGATTTTAGCCTCAAACCCTTCCAGTCCTGGTGACAACAAGCCTTTGCGACTTTTCCAGAACGGTGTCCGCGATCTGGTTGAGCAGTACGGTGATGGCACCGATAGGCCATCAGGGCAGGGGTTAAGAGCCAGAGGATTCGACCTGGACAGCAAGGTACAAGTCTTTGAGACAGCAATACGTGGCTTGGGTGGCTTACTGAGTGCTCATCTGTTTGCTGTCGGGGATCTGCCTATTCGTGGATACAAACCTCGGGAAGAGCAGGCGTGTTACGCCCGGGCGTGGGACAAGAATCACAAAGATGGCACTGGCAAGGGAATCCGGTGGGCCAATGGGTTTGAATATGACGGACAGCTGCTCAGACTGGCATATGACTTGGGGAGTAGACTCATACCTGCTTTTTGGTCGCCTACAGGGATACCGTACCCGCGTGTCAATCTCCGTCATGGCATCCCCTTTTATGTCAATTCTCCTTTTAATGCGCAGTCACGTCACAGTGAGGATGATCCCCAGACGACTCCACCTGAGATCACTGAAACCTGTAGTGCCGGGGCGGGCAGTCTGGTATTGGAGTTTACCGTTCTGAGCAGGTTGACTGGAGATTTCCGCTTCGAAGATCTGGCCAAGAGGGCATTTTGGGCAATCTGGGCGAGAAGAAGCAATATCGATCTTGTTGGGTCCGGGATCGATGCTGAGACGGGTAACTGGATGGGAACCTGGACCGGCATCGGCGCAGGCGTCGACAGCTTCTTTGAATATGCTCTGAAATCACACGTCCTCTTGTCTAGGGAAGCTTATCCTTTGAATGAAAGTCGGGTGAGCCCTGAAAAAGACCCGAGATCTCTCTTCATGCTGCCCTCTGCTGAGGAGCACAGCCCCCAAGCGTTCCTCAATGCCTGGAACGCCGCACATGCCGCAATACAGAGACATCTATACCGTGGCCAGGACTATCAACACCCTCATTACATTCAAGCCGATCTTGTCACCGGCGCAGCGAGGGGTTTTTGGATGGATGCACTTAGTGCATACTACCCGGGGCTTCTCACTCTTGCTGGCCATGTACAGGAAGCCATGGAAACCCATCTCTTACAGACGGCCCTCTGGACACGGTTTTCTGCATTGCCGGAGCGATGGAACCTGGTCACTGGTGGCATTGAGGGCGGCCTAGGCTGGTGGGTCGGTCGACCTGAGTTTATTGAATCGACCTATTATCTCTATCGTGCAACGGAAGATCCCTGGTACTTCTATGTTGGAGAGATGGTGCTCCGAGACATCAAGCGTCGATGTTGGACAATGTGCGGATGGGCCAGCATTCAGAACGTGCTGACGGGTGAGAAGACGGATCGAATGGAGAGTTTCTTTCTGGGAGAGACGGCCAAATATCTTTTTCTGCTGTTTGATCCTACACATCCTCTCAATCATTTGGATGAGCCATTTGTCTTCACCACGGAAGGACATCCCTTGGTCATTCCCCGGAGCGTCGGTGATGGAAAGAGTCGTGGGAAGCCGTCATCGCAGACTCCTCTTGCGGAGGAGGCTACTTGTCCCGTCAAGGCCGAGCCTGTTCCGTTCACCATCTCCAACGTTGCTGCAAGGCCAGACGTGTACCATGCAGCGAGTCTCGCAAGGCTCCATTTAATGCCGACGAGAGACACCGTCGAGTCGGTCTTTGGCGAATATGCCGCCGACCATCCGAGTATCACTTTATCGGATATCAACTCGCCCTCTAACTACACCTATTTTCCCTGGACCCTCCCGCCGGAGTTGGTGCCTTGCAATGCCACTACCTCGATTATTCCCACCAGACCGACTCTCGATATTTCATTTCCAGCTTTCCCAAACCCTGGCCAGCCGGCCCCACCGCTTCAGCGGGTGAAAGAGGGCATCCTGATCAACTTTATCGGAGGGCTACGGCTGGGACTTGTGCAGGATACACCCGTGTTATACGAAGATGGCATATACGACGGTTTCCGAATCCAAACTATCAACCAAATTCCCCTCGGGAAGGACGAGAAGGTCTTCCTCGCGCGAGAAACTGGAAAGGATGTGCTCATTCCCTCTGACCCCAACTTCACGAGAGTGCGGGATCCCGTCATGCTCAACATCGTGATCGAGCTGAGTGGTTCTACAGAGGGCGGCAGCGATACTGAATCAGACCAAGGAAGGCTGAACTCTTCATCTGAAGAAGAAGCTCTTGTCATCGATGTGCCAGAACTCGATGATCCCATGGCCGATGGAGCCGTCAAAGCCGCATGGAACGCCATCGTGGCGCAAATTTCGAGTCTTTTGAGAGACCGGCCGCAATTCGTCGATACCGCCTGGCCATTTTCAACCGCATTCTCCCTCCCCTCCAGTACCCCAGCTCCCACGCACAACAGCATGCGCACGTTGGGTTCCTATTTTGTCGAACAGCAACATAGTCATAATCCACGCTACCAGCTCCAAGCAGTCACCCCGACAGGTCCGGGAGCCGCTCCATTACCCGACTGGCCTGAAGTCTCGACCATAATCCCGCTGGGAGCTTCAGTGCATGCTGCGCAGCAGATGCCATGGACCAAGGTCTACGCGACAGACGAGCTGTGCGACCATAAACTCCCGCTCAGCGTGGTCAGGAGCCATCAAGTCCTTGTCGTCAAGAGAGGCGGGTGTAACTTTAGCCGCAAGCTACAGAATATCCCGTCCTTCTCGCCGTCCGCGCAATCTCTTCAATTGGTGGTTGTCGTGTCGTATGGAAACAGCAATGCTGACGATGGCGCCACGGGCGATGACCAATACTCTAAAGACTCGCATCAGCACCAACACCATGGTGGTGACGGCGATAACGGCGACCAAGAAGAAGCCTTGCCCAGACCGTACCTCCATGAACCTCAACTCACGCCAGCGGGGCTTCCGCGCCGCAATCCGATTCCTATGGTCCTCGTTGGCGGTGGCGACAAGGTCTACGATGCTTTGACTCGTAGGACCATCGGCGTCGGCATCAAGAGACGATATCATGTGGAAACTCGGGGTGTTAGAATCGCAAACCTCCACATCGTTTAGGGTCCAGCACCCAGGTAAACTATCCGCGCTAGTATCGATCACCATTTTCCGCTGCCGATGACAAGACGGGAAAAATATGATGCTGTACTAGTACACTGATGGGCTGTGTAACACTACAATGCTTCTTGGGAATGAATGAGATTCGATAAAATTTGTATACATCTGGAGGCCAATGCTAGTATTACTATAAATGTATAATTTGACTCATACTTGGATTATAACTACCATCTCCCCCTCCAGGTCTTCTCCCAAGCCATCTCTTCCTCCTCTGCACGCCGCAGGGCGCGCCTCCACTCCCTCTCCATCCTCCTGGCCAGCTCTTCGGGCCTTTCTGCGTTTCCATCTGCTGTGGCGGTCGTAGGACTATCGCAGCCTCGGAGGCCAATGAAACGACCGAAGCGACGGCGTTTCGTTTCGAGATCAACTCCACTGACTGTTGTGGTTGTGTTGTTGTTCTCCGCGTCAGAGTCAGGACCCGAAAGAATGGCGTTGCCGTTAGCATCAGCAGATTCAGAATCCAAGCTCGTCCAAGCGGGGATCCAAGCAGGGTACATGAACGTTTCGTCGACGGGCGGGTCGACCTGATGGTACCAGCGGGCGAGGTCGTCGAGCTGCTCGTGCGTCAGGAGATGGTACTGCAGCAGCGTGGTGGGAAAGACCGGGTGCGCCAGCCCCGAAGAGACTGATATTAGCGGCACCAGCGGCGCGCGCAGGTGCTTCACGCTGTGCATGTATTGGATGCGGTTGCGCAGAGTTGTCGGCGAGTACTCTTCAGTACCACTTGGACGGACGACGACATGGTATTTGGGCGGTGGGGGCAGGCGGCACCGCACATGCGCCGCACCGCCGCGCCGCGACGAGCATAGCTTTTTGCGAATCGGTGACCGTGATGATCGTGGAGGAGAGGGTGAGGACCCTGCTGTTGCTGTTGTGGCGGTCCCGATTGGACTCGGCATGCGGGCTCGGACGAGCTGTCTTTTGGAAGGGGTTCGATAGGTGGAGGTGGAGGTGGACCGGTTTGCCAGGTCGGTCCTGTGTGTTGCTGCCGCTGCCGGTGCGGTCGTCCGCGGTCTCCTCGGCGATGATGTCGGAGAAGTCCAGTCCACAAGAGTTGTCGTGTCGGAGAATGGCGAGGATGGTACTCTATCGTCGCCGCTCGAGGCCATGGGCATGGTCATCATCTGGGTTCGGGAAAGGTCGGCGCCGCTGGCGGTTCGCCGCATGCCCGTCCATGTGGTGTTCACTCGCAGAGGCAATGTCATCCGAGAACTTCTCATGGCCATCCGGCTTTGTCGGCCGTCTTCGCAAATGCCGGCGGGCTGGAAACGGAATTCGTCAACCCTCTGGTCACCAGTGCGTGCTAGCGCAAAGGACCACGTCTGTGTTGGCGAGCTGACGGGACTGCTCAGGCTGTTGCGTCGGCAGATCGAGCCGTTTGAATCACTACCGTTGACGGCCGGACTTTCTTCGTGCACAGGACTCAGGATCGAGTCAATTTGCTGCATGGCAGATGTGGCTACCAATTGAGGCACCGGTTCGACAAGACGACGTAGATGCTGCCCAGGACTGGTGGTGTTGGGCGAACAGGGTGACGGAGGCGGGAGAGTCGGCGATGTGGGAGTGGACGGCATCATGTTGCAACTGGTGGTCTTCTCGTGATTGATTGACTGCTTGCTTGCTTGCTCGGGTAGCTGGGATGCGATGAGTTTCGAACAGTGGTACGCTGGCCTACGAAAGTAAGAAATGTCACCGGAATCCCTGATCAGACGAACGTCTGGCTAGAAGTTGAGCTGATTGATTCTGTGTGTTTGCGGCCGTGGGGATCTTTGAATCTCCCAAGGCCCCCCTGCCTTCCACAGATTGAGAACAATGAATCATGACTGCGAAATAGAATGCCATAGTCGATGCCGATGTTTCTTTGTGCAGTGCTATATCTGGCGCTGCGGTCCTCTTTTGTCTCTGATTGCGGCCTCTGGACTCGTCCTTTGTTGAAAATATAGCAACGTAGGAGGTATGACAAAGCCGGATCTTTGGCACGCGAGTAATGTCTGTAGCATCATGTCGAGTCACAGGAGGGATTGCGAAAGAATCTCGATCTGCTTACCGCTGTGGGTAAGCAAAGACACAGTTATCCGCCTACCTGGCAGGTGTATGAGACTAGGAATCTTTCTCAGCTTTCATGAGAAGCTGATTGCCTAAGGAGACCGTTCTCGCAGTGGTTCTGCGATACACGTGGCTGGAATGTTGCTTCGCTAAGGAGGCGACCGTGCGTTTTCAGTTCATTGTTCTCAAGTCTTTGGTCGGGTTCGTCACGCGCATTCCATTTCGTGCAGTAATTGGAGGGCCAGTGCTCCCAGGTTCAACTGTATTGGTGCCTCAAGGCGTGGATAATGTCCTAAGAACTAGCAGCGTCCTTGCAAATCGTAGTTCCATAGATATGCATAGTCAAGAAAACACGGTCGTTCAGTGCCGGCGAGAGTCTCTTTACCAGCAACGATAGCGCAGCACCTCCTACCGTAAGAGTGTCCATCAGACATGAATGGGGAAACAACACCTGTCCAGGCAGAAGTAAATGCTGCAGCAGCGATTTCTACCACGGCTGCTCTTCCGTCAAAATCAAGTATGGCCGCAGAGCTCGCCACTATGCTTTCAAGTCGGATAAGTCATGAGAGAACGGCTGTGCCTTCTTCTTGTATTTTCCTACCACGAACTTGAACAGCATCAGCGTCAGCGTCAGCGACATCCCGTGCGGCTCACCAAGGTCTCTGGCATCGAGCACAGAGGTTGACTTTCTTGCGGGAGTCTGAGTGCGGTGTCGTTCAAGTTGTCTCTTGGGCTGACTAATCGTGTGTCCCGCACGTTGCCAATCATACCGCAGGCAGTCAAGATCTCGATTGCCCTGTGCCAGGAGTACACTGTTATATTTTTTTACCACCGTTTGTCCGTCCAGCTTCTTTGGCGCTGGGCTTTGTCAATCCATTTCTCTACAAACTGCGTCTGGAGCTGAGCCATGATACCGTTCTTTCCGACGATGTCACGGTGGCGTACAATGAAGCTCCTATTCGAGTTGGTCCATCCCCGAGCCCAACGCCGGCCTAATCCCGAAGCCATCAAGGAGCAAGTAGTGCATACGCCCATGTATCAAATCCCCAGGTATCAAGCACTACAGGCATAAGATTGACTGGGCAAAAAGTCCAGGGCTTAAGAGGAAACCTGAGATGCAGGGTTCAGCTACGTTTTCATCGACAACCTCCCCTGCCAGCTCGTACTAATAGCTCTTCGAGATTGCTTCTTCGAGCTGTGTGTGGGCGGGCGAATCACAGGCGCACTGACCCGCTGTCAAAGATGAAGACCATGGATTAGGTCCTCTATACGGATGGATAAGCCTGAGTTTGGTCCTGGTCGTGGTTACCGATCAAGATCAGGTCCTTGATAGCCGAGCACGCGAGACACCGCACCCCGGTGCTGTTAAGAACACGCACAGTGACCGATGGTGCCAACTGAAAGCTTCAGCTTCAGCTTGGCGAGCCTCATCACGGGAAGCTACTGCAGAATTACGTTGTATGTCGCTTCAAAGGGGCCGTGTCTACCGGGTTGGAATTTTCACCATTCACTGAGTCAAGATGCCCAGCATTTGGTGCTGGGGGATTATTCCTGAGGGGTTGGACACCAAAGGGCTCCCTAAGCTCCCCAAGCCCGCCAAGCGACCTGATGGGCAATGACCTGGAGAAGGCTGACAGCAAAGCGGGAGAGGCTAGAGGCGACGATCTGGGGTTTAGCGTTGAGCGATCAACCTTCCGCCATGTTCTCATTCCTCCCCTTATGGTCCGCTCTTTTTGAAGCTTCTATTGCGTAGCGCTCTGGGCAAAGAAGCAAAAATCTACTCACAGTCAAAAAAGCCGACGTAGAACACACAACAAAATGAAGCTCGAGACGGGTTCTGGCCAGACACACGACCGGCCTGACAACCCCAACAGTCCATGTCTCTGGTCGCCCCGGACACTTGGCTTCCAAGCTGGAGCAAGCTGCATTTCATGTAACGGTGGCTCAGGTCAACTCCACATACAGTACGACCTCGGTCAATGCACACCGCAAGACGTTCAGAGGACATCTGGCTACACCAATGCACAATATGAGCCACAGTATACCCTTCTCGAGGCTCCGACCACGGTCTAGCAGTGTTACAACAACCTGCTGGAGGCATACCTCGTCTTAAGCAGTCCTAGCCGATCACAGAAGCTCCAACAGTCCTAAAGCATAGGTCATACTACCCCGCAGGACAGATGAAAGCGTGAAAGCGTCATGCTGAGGGAAAACTTTACTGACGACCCCCCCAGAAGCAAAGATCATTTGCTGGTGGATCCCGCTGGTTGAACGGCGAAACCGCGCACGGGCTAGAACAGGCTAACCTTCGAGTCTTCAGCTTTAGGGCCGACCAGGCCCATGCCTCGAAGCAACATCCCTGTAGGGCGCATCAGCCCAGGGAGCCTGCTCAATCAGAATGCGTGCGTATGGGCTGGATTAAGCACTTACCTTGCAAAGTGCTTAGCAGCTCTTAAGTGGCGACTAAGGAGAGTCAAGACCAGACAAGGATGAGCGGTTGAATGAAGACTAAAGCCCAGCCGTCAAGAAAAAGGCAAGCACCCCGTCGTCATCGACCGACGTCAAACTACAGACGTTGTAACGCTGATTTGGAGGCGAGCAGTCTGATCGCCCTCGGCTTGCCATTGTCGTCGACACCGTGAGACCTAGTCTCTTGTCCGGGCTTTCACTTGCTCCGAGAAACCGATTGTGAGTCCACGAGACGTGTACTTCGACGTGGATTGTCTCCAGCGTAAGATCCACCACGTCCTACCATCTCGTACACTGACACCCCATGGGGACGCTTTGCTCTGAACGGGGGCCTGAAATTGCCCAGGATCTCCTGTTATCATCCAGGATATAGTCTTCAAGAGTGGAGGTCCGTGATCATCACATAGAAGGCCTGTGGAAGACTCCCACGCTGCTTGCAATGATGGTCGACTCCGCACTGGAAGCTTTGCCTTTGAGAGATGTTCGCCTCACCTTGATAAATGTCGGTCGGGTCCGCACATTGTGGTTCGGATCTGTGTTCGCACAGAAGCATCTTTTCAAGCACAGAGAGGCTTGGGCTCCCCACGTGTAAACAAAATGGCCTCCCAAGACCAACATATTTCACGCAATCAAGAAGACATGTAGGCGACTGGTTGCTCTTCGTGCCTCTGACCGTTCGCTGACTTGCTTTCCTCCAGCGATGCGAACGAGAAGTATGTGGATGAAAAGCACCCAGCACAACATATCGACTTGCAAAACAGCGCCGCAGCGAAGTATGGCCTAGCGACCTCCTTTATATGGAATGCGCCATAGCTAATGGCCGCAGAATCAAAAATCCTCTGGCACATCTGACCAACGAGGAGGTAATCAAGGATGTGCAGGACTTTACGAGGACCAGCGGGATGGAGGACCTGACGCCCATGATAGTGAAGGGAGCACTTGTGGCGAAAGATCCTCCAGCATTCGAAACCGTCCCGGGTTTGACCGAGGATGAAAAGGAAGCCATCAGAAACGAGGTGTTGCACAAATGGAGGCAGCCCAAGGCGCTTTACTTCACCATCATCCTTTGCTCCATTGGCGCAGCCGTGCAAGGTTGGGATCAGACCGGCTCCAACGGTGCCAATCTTTCGTTCCCAGACGCTCTAGGTATCCCAATCTCGGACACGTTGGCTGATGGATCGCCAAATCCCCACGCCTCTCGAAACCAATGGTACCAAGGACTAGTCAACGCTGGCCCCTACATTGCTTCCGCTTTCCTGTGAGATGCTACCCCGAGTTCTGTTGTAGGCACCTCTTTGCTAATCTGGAGCAGTGGCTGCTGGTGCTCTGATCCCCTAAACAACTTCTTTGGCCGTCGCGGAACAATCTTCGTTTCCGCCGTTTTCTGTTTCTTAACTCCAATTGGCAGTGCCGTTGCCCAGAGTGAGTTCAACGCGAGTGCTCCTTGCATTGTGGGATGCGCTGACCAACCTTGATAGCCTGGGAACAATTGCTGGTCACCCGACTCTTGCTTGGTATTGGTATGGGTTGTAAAGGCTCGACTGTTCCCATCTTCAGCGCCGAAAATGCCCCGGCCGCTGTGCGAGGAGGCCTGGTCATGTGTTGGCAAATGTGGACGGCTTTCGGTATTTTCTTAGGCACTTGCGCCAACCTTGCCGTGGAAGACACGGGCAAGATCTCGTGGCGACTTCAATTTGGGTCTGCCTTCATTCCGGCTGTGCCCCTTCTGGTCGGAATCTACTTCTGTCCAGGTAAGGCCCCTTCTATATTGTGCAACACGGTCCGGCACAGTCTTTCTGAGCTCTACTGACTCGTGCCACCCTTCATTTCAGAATCACCCCGTTGGTATATCAAGAAGGGCATGTATACCAAGGCGTTCAAGTCTCTCAAGAGACTTCGCAACACTGAACTCCAGGCCGCGCGCGACTTGTATTACATCTATGCTCAACTGCGTATGGAAGCCGCTTTAGTCAACAAACAAAGCAACTATATCACTCGCTTCATTCAACTGTTCACCATCCCGAGAGTTCGGCGTGCCACGTTGGCCTCTTTCACTGTCATGATCGCCCAGCAGATGTGCGGAAGTAAGTCAAGATAACCCTCTTCCTCTTCTGCGACGGTTTCAACTCAGAATATTGACCTGCATCTCCAGTAAACATTATCGCGTTCTACAGTTCCACTGTCTTCTCCGAGGCTGGAGCCTCCGACACAAACTCGCTCCTGGCCTCTTGGGGCTTTGGTCTGGTGAACTTCGTGTTTGCGTGGCCAGCCATCTGGACCATTGACACCTTTGGTCGTCGCTCTCTCCTGCTGTTCACCTTCCCACAGATGGCTTGGACGTTGCTTGCCGCCGGCTTATGCTACTTGATACCGGAATCGAGCTCGGCTCACTTGGGTTTGGTGGCCTTGTTCATCTATCTGGTAAGAAAGAAAAATCACAGTTCTGCCTCTCGCCCTCATCTATCAAACCGCACGCTTGAGCACTTTTGTTTCATACTGACTTGAAAACAATAGTTTGCCGCATTCTACTCCCCGGGCGAAGGCCCAGTCCCTTTCACGTACTCGGCCGAAGTCTTCCCACTCTCCCATCGTGAGGTTGGTATGGCCTGGGCCGTAGCGACATGCCTGTTCTGGGCCGCCGTGCTTTCCATCACTTTCCCGCGCATGCTTGCCGCCATGACTCCCACGGGAGCGTTCGGATTCTATGCCGGCTTGAACATTTGCGCCTTGGTCATGATCTTCCTGTGGCTCCCGGAGACCAAACAGCGCACGCTGGTACGTAATATTTTCTCTTGTTCTCGCCTCTCTGTGCAAGATGGGAAGGATATTCGTTGGTGGAAACCGGGTCCTTCTCATATAGGAGGGATTGTGAAACCCAACACACCCAACAGAAGAGCTTTACGTTCGTTGACCACGTGCTAACATGTTGCCCCTACAGGAGGAACTCGATTATATCTTCGCCATCCCCACTAGAACGTTCATGAAGCACCAGGTCGGCACCGTCCTGCCATGGTGGATCAAGACGACCATCTTCCGCCGCAAGATCGGCCCATGTCCGGCTCTGTGGTCGTTCGACGGCCATGTCGACAACGACAAGGAGTTTGTCGAGACGATTCGACGACAAAGCATGGCCATGGCCGGTGGACGCCGTCGAAGCAGCATTGCGGATAGGATTGTCAACAGATTCTGAGCTGGGATATTCGCAGAAACTGCTAGGTCGAAAGAGTGACAGAGATCGCAAGATCGAATGATGCAATCGGCGGTGATGCGGATGTCGTTGTAAAGATGAAGGTAGTCGTTACAACCGCGATTCAGACAATGTTTTGCGGATTGCGACCGACTATTTGGCTGGAGACGTGAAGCGAATGGTAGTTTTTATGCAGCAGCTTTTGTCACACAATGGCGGCTGTCTCTAATGACTTGCCACTTGGTGGGAGTTGTACGTCGGGATTGGACATGTGATGGAATAGCCCGAAAAGGGGCCTCAACCGGCAAGAATGGGTAGAAGAGGAGATAGGAGATAGGCGATCAAGAGGGAGGAGGCTAGCTGTTTAGTTTAGTATAGTTCGCATGAGACGACGAGACGATTGAGCTTCAAACCACATGATTGAATTGACAGAATGATTTCTTTACAACTAGGCAAGCCTGAAGTCCGGAGGAGGATGCCCCCAGAATGCATTCATTGGCTATGAAGTTTATCAATCCATCGAAGAGTTGTCTTAGCTATAGATAGATATATGAGGGCAGGGCGTATGTACCTGAGATACGAGAACGACTCCGACGTACTTCCCCTGTCGTCTCGAAAGGGGGTCAACGTCACCAAATCCCATCCAACAGAACAAAGCCGGCGGCCCAAACACATATTAGTAGGAGACAATTCATGGTACCAACGGCAGCGGCTGCTGCAGCACCACTTTTGAACCTTTCCATCGTCGGCACTTGCGAAGGCACACTGACAGCATCGACCTTGTTTAGTTCGGCCAGGTCCTGGGATTCATTCCTACTCAGGCCCAGAGAGTAATTTGTGGCGCGGAAAAGTACTTCGTCAGGGGAGGCGTGGTAGGTCTCGGTGCCGAACTGGACGGTGCCCAGATACAAGTCGGCGGGCATGAAGTCGAATTGCCACAGGTAGTGGACGAGAGGGGAGAAGTCGGTGGAGCTGGCGTTGCCAGTAGTGGTCAGGTTGGTTTCGGCGAGCCAGGAGAAGACGGTTTGGTTTTGGTCGTTTGTGCCGTGGAAGAGGAAGCTGGAAAAGAGCAAAATGTATTTGTCAATCTTCGGTCGCAGAGATTGAGGTTGAGGTTGTACAGGGGTGTTTGGTTTGGGGGGTTTAGGTCTTACAATCTCGTATCTCCAACAACGAACTGGTCTTTATCGGGACTCGAACTATCAATGCCCACTGGGTAAACGTCGTATGAATACGATAGCCACACCATGATTTCGTACTGTGGCAGGTCTGACGTCGCTTGGCTGGCGGTGGCGTCTAAGAACATGTCTAGCGCCACATTGTACTGTACGTCGTCGTCGTCGAGGGCTTGTAGTCGTTCTTGGGCCGTGTCATTGATGGCCGATGATACGTTGACGGCCCAGGTCCCTTGGAAGTCGATTGCTGCTAGTTCTTTGATGGATAACGGGTATAGTGATGAGTCGAGCTTGAAGTGTGGATATGCGTGTACCTTGTCGGAGTTGTTGGTCCATCGCCAGGTTGCGTCGAATGCTGTTCCGTTGTTCTTGACCTGTGGAATACCAACACCAAGGGTTAGAAAACGGAAATACCGTGGGCTTAACGGAAAGACAGTCGGAGGACAGGTAAAAGTCGCCTGGGCTAGTCGATGCATCCTGACACAGCCTTGCTTTGCCAACAGTCCATGTCCATAACTGTCTCCAAGACCAACTGTGATGTGTATGTAGAGGCAGGAGTGGTAGCAGACCTACCGTGATGCATGAATATCCCGAACCATCATTGCCCCATGGGTTATTGTAGACTGAACGGTAGTACACATAATGTCAGACAGACTTCCCGGTGATGTAGTAGCCGGAGACATGTCTTCTTGTCTCGGCGTACTTACAGACATATGGCAGCGTGGTGGAATTGTAGTAACTCGAATCGCCCGAGTTGCCGCATTTCGTCACTGAGTCGGCAGTAACTGTGAGGATGAGGCAGGATATAGCTGCCAGTCCTAGCCAAGTAGAGCTTATCCGCTTCATGGCCAGAAGGAGGCCGGAGGAAAGCCAGCAGGATGGGGTTCTTTGAAAACTGAGGACGGAGAATAGACTTACTGTAAGTCGCCTGCTAGAGGTTTTGAAGCACAATTTGTGTGCCGCTACAAAATAACGTCAGTCCGAGTCCAGAACGTTTGGATTCCATTTTTGATCAACATTCGACTGATCTTGAGATCGCCTGCACGGTTCAGTATGAGACGTCAAAGGCACACTAGAATCTTGTCAATTGCATGTGCTTTCTAGATCCGTCATGGCGAGTCCGAATCTGAAGGTAACGGGTGGACCACGATTGGTGGTCATCGTGGTCGGTGCGCAATAATAGCGACAATCCGATCGAGCGAATGGACCATCTACAGTACCCAAGAGATTTTCAGATCTTTCAACTCGTCGTCATTACGAGAGCGATCATTGTGCTCTGATTCGTCTGAGCTGACATCTTTGATGGACGGCTCCCGGCCTGTAGGGAGGCCATGTTCGCTATCTTATCGGCTGCTTCAGCTCTGGTCAAGAACTTGTGTTCAAAGCGGCCTTCAGCCCTAGGTCTGGATGCATTTTTCACAGGCGCTTGATAAGCTCAGAAATCTCAAGGCTCCTAGAGCAAGCATGTCTCACAGATCCTTGAAGAACGGAGTACTACAGGCGGAGATGTAATGCCTGGGATGAAAGAATGAAGACGTTGAAGAAGACGTGCGTCGATGTGCGTCTTCGACCCCCAGCAAATACTGCACGCCACAACAACATCAACTGCAAGGCCTGCAAATCTTCTCAATCCTGCAAAGAGGCACCTCAATGATCATCCGTCCCTTCCTTCGATGATTTGTAAAATATTGTTCATCCTCCATGGCAGGAGATATGTCTGGAGCAGAGACTTTACACAGATCTTTATCGTTTACCTCGTGTGAGGTAGGTTTTGTTGAGAGAGAGATGCTAATCCGGCGTAGTCCCTTTCACTGTGAACGGACTGAGCGACCGAGATCAGATACCATCGGCGAGCAACTTGAACACATTGCTGTGAAGCAGTCAGCTACGACGAATAACTCCAATCTGGACCTCCATGCTGGTGGCAGTCCAGCTCACTGCCTTTGCGTCTGTCGCTGCTTCGCCGGTTCTGCACTGCCCTCGCTACAACTGCTTCCGCCTAGGTGGACAAGGTCACCTCGAGGAATACCCAGGTCTAGGTACAGTACAGTATCCTGGCCATATTTTCAGGGAAACAGTAGCTGGTGCAAACTGCCATTCACGGGGTACATCTCGAGGTCAGCCTTTCCAAGGCGCATTGGATTTGTCCTCCACTGAAAGCAGTTGGACCCACGCAGTGTTTCGAGTGAAGGGCATCCATCGAAGCAGTGGCTCTAACCTACACCGCCTGTACACAGTCATGTTCACAGTTGCCTTGGTGCGCTCCGCGTCTTCACTCCAGATAAATATTTAAGTCCTTCTCCTCTCTCAGTCTGTTCTTCTCCTTCTCCCCTTTTATCCCTTGTCAAGCTTGAACAACCCCGATCATCCGAAGCTTCCCAGGACGTCTTATCAAATCGCAAGCCCCTGCCTCACTACAACGTTTCAAGCTTCCTGGATTTTGCCAAGGCCATGGCCAAAGCCAAAGCGAGTCCGCCGGAGCATGGCGAGAATCCCTGCAGCGAAAATGGTGTAATGTGCATGCAGAGAACGGTGGCACCGGAGCCTTCAAAGGCATCGCCTTTCCTTCTGCTGCCTGCAGAGATCAGACTGCAGATATACAGCTACTTCCTCCTTCCTCCTCCCAAGAGTCCTGATGAGTTGACCACACATGTGAAGGATCATGAGAATGCTGATGGAAAGGGAGAATATGGATCTGCGGATGTGGACAGAAACGAGGAGGTGGGAAATGACGGTAATATAACGACACTGGAAACCCGAATCCTTTTCAAAACCCGGAGAAGCCTTACGCTTGTCTGCCGCGAGATTGCCAAGGAGTGGGTGCCACTGTTCTTTCGCTCATCGACCATCGACGTGGACCCAGTAAAGGAGGACTTGGAGAATTGGCTGGCGGAAGACATGCCCATGCCCCGTGCTCGCCACGGCAAAGGTCTCAGAGAGTTTGAGACCAAATTCCTGCGGACTCTCGACGTGTCTAAGCTCCACAACGTCAGAAGACTGACGTGCAACGCCTATATCTGGTACATTAATTGCAATTATGTGGCGACAAGCAGACCATCATCCGTCAGTCTCGCGCGGATCCGAAGCTTCGGCGAGGTCCTCGACCGGTACAAAGATGCAATGCAATCTCTAGCCGAGGTGGTCATTTTTGATTGTCGCGAGGGGCTCTTACCGGGTATGGATGACTTAGAGGTCAGCAAGCCTGACACTGTGCGCGGAATAAACAACGACGATGCACGAAGCATCTGGACGGCCACAAACGACCGACGCACATGGGACAAAATCGTCGACGAGTTGCAGAGTGGCAAGTGTGCCCTGTTCCGGGGCTGGAAAGTCAACAAACACGTCAGCTTGATCAAACAGCCCATAGAGAACTTCTTTCAAAACGACCCGACCTTTTCCCACGAGGGGCACCAGGGGGATTTTCGTTTCTTGGTCATCGCTGTTCAAGTAACCTTCCGCAAGATGGGCGACACGCACTCCGAACAGATTGGATCCACGGAAATGATGACTGTGTCCTATGCTGCGAACTACGATTAACCTGATTGCTGACATTCTGGCATTTAACAGGCATTTGGTAGCAATTGGGCCACAACCTTGGAATCCAACACCAACGATACGGCAACTCAATCGATCAACAAGGAATTTCGCAGAGACATATCAATGGAAAGATCGGCATAGGAGCGCAACAGCAGCCGGTATGCTGTTGTTCAGATGTTGGTAAAACATATGCATGATTGTACGAGTACTATGGAAGCAAGTTGTGTATATGAGTACTAGGGATATTGTTTTCTATGGGATGGGACGTGTCCTGTCTATGGACCGTATGTTTTTTCTTGTCAAGAGTACAGCGATCAGCACTTGAGAACTGAAAAGTAAATAGTAAAAAAGGATTTGTTGGAAGTGATGTCGTTTTTTGCTCTACCAAAAGCATCCATCATCGGACAAGAGTAGTAGTATGCCTGCAAAGTACAATGTATATTAAAACAGTTGAATGAGATATGTACCGTTCGTCGGTGATTAAGTCACATGCGATGATTGTAAACACCAAGACGGCGGCGGCCCTTGCCTTTGATCGACTATCACTCGGGACACTACGACTGTTGTGTTGCTGGGCACTACTGGCACTGGCATGTCTTACAAGACGTCAATCTGTTGATCGTTGATTGATCGGGTAGTTGATCATCAAGGAGATCAAAATAGTGTCAAAGAATCCTCTGGCAGTGAGGACAAAGACAAGCACGTGCAAGTGTGCAACCGAATGCGGATGTACACGTCTGAATCCCTAAGTTTGAGCTGGCCAGAGCACAGAACAGGAAAATCAAAAGAGATCGCATAATTAGATCGAAAAAGACTACGAGAAGAGTTTAATGGTTTTAAAATATATTTTGGATTTTTTTTGGAGTCTGCGATCAGGTCAGTCAATCAGTCAGTCCCAATACTGCTCTGTAAATGAGAACTGTGAGGCGCTTCCAGCGAATGTCTGTGGAAAACAATGAATCCCGAGCACATCAACGGGCACAAGCCGATCACTCCCCAAACCCACTCTTTTGTTTTCAAAGTAAAAGTGCACAGAGAAACAAAGAATAAATTTGACAAACCCCCCAATGTCTGACGTCCTGAGCCGCATCCATCTGCCTCCACACTCAAGTTGGCGTTGGAAGTGCGGAAAGGATGGGAGGTTTACTGCAGATTGCTGCTTGCTGAGTTTGGTCGTGAGAAATTCCGGCGGGCCATAAGAATGCATTTTTTTCTTCTCTTCATTGTTTTCATCTTCTTCTTCGCACGCTATGCAGTAAGAAATCAATTGAATTTAATGATGGCCCGAAGAGCTGCACATGTGCCAGCTGCAAAGATACACTGTAGAGCTCGGTCCACGGGCAGGAGAATGGAAAATGGTCGTCATTGTCGTCGTCGTAACAAGAAAGACTTTCATGATTGGGAGTCCAAGTGCTCTCCTTATCCACCACCCTCTGTTCTGAATATCCTCGGTCGTGTCCAGACGACTGCGAGTGGTCTTGTTGACAGCTTCCATCGGTCAAGCTGTAGTGGGACGAAATGGTGATAGCCACCGTGGGCTTGTCGCATCCAGGCGGCTGGAAACGGGTGGTTGATGATAGAGCCCAAGAAGAAGAGTGTCATACAGATGGGTTGCATGATCTGTGGGCTGATTGTCACCAGAGCCCTTTGGTCGCTGCGAAGCGGTGGATGCATTCGGTAAAGAATGGCAGGTAGGTTTCATCCTTTCGCCATTTCCATCAGTTGTGTGGAATTGATCAACCACAACCTTTGTGTTCCTCGCCATCAAAGATTTGGCGCAGGATTGCCCTCTTTTTCAAGGTCAAGCAATGGAAGGACTGGCGTGGCTGCACAGCACATTGTGCAACTAGGTAGAGATGCATCTGCTTCTTTTCCAGGGGTTCCTGTTCTGTGAAGACAAATTCAGGGCGTGTGGAGTCCTCGGCAAACGAATGATGCTGGACTCTGGTTGGCAACTTATTTAGAGCGCCTGCTTTCCTCTTGTCTCGATCGGAAGACAAGCCATCGCAATGAAAGAAGCCAAGATAAGTGCACCCGAGACGTAAATTGGGATTTTGGGATCCGCCGTGGAGCCGTGGATTGCGACGATCGGTGCACATAGACCTGCCAGGCGGTTGAAGAAGGAAGCAATTCCGGTTCCGGTTCCACGGTTCGGGGCAGGGAAGGTTTCTGGCGTGTACGCGTACAAAACGCCATACATGATGTTTTGGAAGAAGGCAACCAGACAGCTGAATGCCAGTTGGAAGCTGGAGTCGGTCGAAGTGGTGAACAGGAAAAGGAAGATGCCGGTAAGCATGGTGGAAATCGCCATTGTGCCCTTTCGTCCAATGTACTTGATGTCAACGGTGTAACAGGCAATGATACTGCCAGGGCATCCAACAATGGAGGTGATGGCATAGTTGCGGTAGACGATGCTGGTCGGAGTGGGCGGAGCGTTCGGGTCGACCGAAGTCAAATACTGGGGTAAAAAGGCCTATTGCTATGAGTTAGAAGGCGATCACAGAAAAGCGGAAAAGGGAGAGAGCATACATTGAACAGCGGATAACCCATTCCGATGGCAGCCCACATACCCCACAAGAGGGCGGTATTGATACCGAGTCTCTTGTAAGCGAACAGTGGCTTGATTCGGTGGGTGGAGAACTTCTCAGCTTGCCGCTTGACGATTTGCAGGACGGTCAATTTTTCGGCCTCGGTCTCTTGATGGTGACCGCCAATCTCGTTCAAAATGTCCTCGGTAAGCCAGGTCTTGGTCTTGTTGTTGTATGCGAGAGCATGAACAACCGTGACGGCTTCCCGCTGACGACCTCGGGAGAGAAGGAACTTGGGTGACTCGAACAGGTGGAAGAGGAAGAATCGGCAGACGAACCTGGGAAAGAAATTAGACTCGGCTTCAAAACAGAAGAACGGTCCAAACCTTACATGAAGAATGTAAAGCAGCCCATGGTATAGTTCAGGTACCGCCATCCCATATTGCTGCTCTTAGTGCAACATGCCACTCCATCGGCTACGGCACTGCAGGCCGGTAGATCCGACGCACAGGAGAAGTTCGGCAGGAACCCCCAAGCGATCAAACTGCCAAGTAGCTGACCAAAGGGCCAAAAAACTGACAACATAGTCAACATGTTCCCGGAGGCAAATGGAAGAAACTCGAGAAAAAGAGCTCCATCAACAGGAAGATTGCCTAAACAGTCAGCCAGACGCGTACAATCAATATGACAGAACCCAAAACTCACCGCCTACACCGCAACCAAGAGCACTGAAGAGAGCGCAGGCTTGAATCCAGGTGCCGGTACCGCCAACTGCAATTCCAAACACAGAGGTGAGGAAAAGAGTCAAGTTAAAAGCCAAGCGTCTGCCAACAATGTCGCTCATGGTACCCCAGAAGGCAGCGCCGCAGCACAAACCGGTGAACAAAGCGAGAGTGGTATATCGCACATTGGTCTCACTGACACCATACTCAGCACTCAGGGATGGAAGGGTCAATGCCACGCCTTGAAGCCACAGGTTATCGGCCAGCCATCCAAAACCACAGAGGACGAAGAGTTTCCACTGGTACTGGCCCATGCCAATATCCTGGATGGCCTTGTTGACAACCTTGGCTTTTCGATCGTAGGCAGAATCATGGCCAGATGCGGCAACATCAGCCTCGATCTCAGCACGAAGGGCTTCTACTGTCCAGCCATCCTTTCGGCGGCCGTCCCCAGCAGCTCCCTTTTCGGCCGTCTCGGTCTGCTGATTGTTTACGGTAGAGTCGTTCGCGGAAGATGCAATGGAATTTCGTCTCTTGTTGGCGGCCAGCACACTAGGATGACGAGGCGCATCGCTGAGGGGCACTACCACTTCTTCGAAATCGATCAAGTCGTAACTTTTGAACGGATTCAAGAACGGCATGATGGCGGCGTCGCTTCGGGGCTCGAATGTCGCTTTCGGGCCGGTGTATGTGGCGACGCAGCGTGTGCTTTGGGCGAGGTGATGTTTTGTTGCTCAGGGGCGTGACGGCTCCAAGATATCAATGCCAGGACACCAAGGAAACAAATCACATAAGCAATCTGAAGGACCGGACTGGGAAGACAGAGTTGGTTGAACCAGAGTCGGTATTTGGCTATCAAGCAGGCGACTTGTTGAATCGTAAAGGAAGGAGAGACAAGAGAGGTGTTGCAATGGGACTTGTCTGGGTCTAGCATAGAATATATTCAGTTGACTGCTCACGAGCCACGCTTCGCTTCTTAGCTGGCGGTAACAGCAAATAGCCAGAGGAGTCTGGTGCAAAGATTTTCCTTTCGCCGCTCATTTGTCTTGTGATAGGTGTACATACCCAGGTACCTAACGCAGGCACGGTAAACGAGCTCCACAGAAAGTCACCATGTGGAATACCACGACCCGATACCCAGACAAGGCTCACGTCGTATGAGCGTCTCCAGACGAAGGCCAGGATAGTAATTTGCACGAGCCTTGGAGTCCTGATCCTTCCGGTACTAGTGTGGGAATGACGAAAAGGCGTCCGGGATCTTTGCGGCAGCGAGGCTGAGAACTCCCGGCTATTGGTGTAGCGCACAGACGGACTCGTGGAGGCTGTAAAAGGCCTTCACCTAATTCAATGTATGACACACGCCCAGACAAAGCCTTGTAACTGTACAACGGTAGACTGGCAAGCCCCTCTGGCCCCCAAAAGGCCCGAGGCACCAAACAGGGCTCGGTCGCCGCAAACCCGGGCACGCGGTGGGCAGAGGATGGGGACGGCGGAATCTCGTTGGCGAATCTGGTAGGTAAGATGCTTTCCTTGGCCAGTGAATCGTCGAGATTCAAGGCTTCAAGGCTCCAAGGTGCCAATAGACTCCAGAGGCTCCAGCGCCCGCTTCAGCCAATGTCGCCATTGCGCAGCACGAGTTGTGGGCTTTTTTTCTCCTGGCGGCTGTCAGGCCTGTGTGCCACCCGAATCTGCCGAACGATGTCCAGCGTGGTGCCGTACCCGAGGCGGCGACAAGCCCTTGAGGGACCCTGTACCAGATTCGCGGATGCTGGCCATCGAGTAGTGGTTGTGTCAATGCTGTTCATGTTCAAGTTTTCGAGAACCATGATAGATGGATGTGCCACACAGCTGAAGTGAGCGGACGGAATTTTCACCTGTAACCCACGCACGCAACCTGCGCCTGTGCTTGCGCGTGTGCTCTCTCCCTTAGCTAAGGTATTATTACGCTACTCCTCCAACCCCCCCCGCGCCCCCCCTCC